TTATAATATTTTGTGACATTTTTGTAAGATTTTCTACTTGCGTCCGTGAAAAAATAGCTGTCAGAGCCATCCTTTCCTGATCTTCTCCCATTGTTTCCTGTCGCCTCCCATACTGTGTAATAATGGCAGAAAGGCTAAAAATAGAACTTAAAATCACAAAAAAGACTGTATTGCAGTAATGAGGATCACCACCGTATATTAATGACAATTTGGGTGTGAAATGTGCTTAATTATCTTTTGTAAAAATATACTATTTCTTTTTGTGGAAACTTTTTTCCCCATGAAATTTTGGTGCAAATCATATGTATAATTGCAAGAGTGTTGATTAAAACCATGAACTGGTTTCTTCTTCGCTCGTGTTAGATGTGAGAATGAACAAGCCCACAAGGACTTCAAAAAGGCAGTCGGAGCCATTCGGATTGTTTACAGCCCAGAGCAAAGCGAACTGGTTGTGTTGGTGAGTCCCAGTTAACCTCGGCACTTCTGAAAGGAGGTTTAATCAAGACAAAAGCTTAACCAACATTATGTTCCCCAAACACCACTAGTCCATGAGCGAAGCCACCGGCAAGCGCGTCTCGCTGCTGAGTGACATGCATTTACGCAGCATCCGCACCAAACTCCTGCTCATGTCCCGGAACGAGGAGGCCACCAAACATCTCGAGGTAAATGGCAACTGCCGCAATAATAATAACCATGCAGTGTGCAACTCAAAGTATTAAACCATGGTTGAAAATGAACTCTGACTTACAATTTCAAGCGTGCAAATCTTGGTGTGCATGTAGAGTACGAAGCAGTTGGCCTCGGCGTTTCAAGAGGAGTTCACTGTGAGAGAGGACCTCATGGGTCTCGCCATCGGGAGCCACGGCAGTAACATTCAGGAAGCCAGAAAGGTGCCAGGAGTGACCGCCATCGAGCTGGACGAGGAGACGCGAACCTTCAGGGTTTACGGAGAGGTGCGTCAGCTTTCTGTGCACACCGTCATTACATTATACAGGTGCTTTGTAATGGATACGATGTGTTCTTAAACCTTACATTACAGACTGCTGAGGCGGTACAGAAAGCAAGGATTTATCTAGAGTTTCTGGAAGATTCAGTGCAGATTCCTCGCAATCTTGTTGGTATGCATTCTTTTTTATTTTATCTTATTTTAGTTTTTGTTTTGAAACAAATTGTATAAAGCTTGAAGTTAATGTAAAATAATTTAGAGTGCACAAGTCTTATTTTAGAATTATTTATATACTATGTAGTATTTATTAATGCTTTTAATTAGCTTTATTTTCATATTTTCAGTTTTTGCTTTAATTCTAGTTTAAGTTTTACCAATTTTATGTATGCTTTTTTTGGCATTAATTAATTTTTATTTTTCAGGTTTAGTAATTTTAATATTTCAACAAACTTTTTCAGGTAGTTGCCAATGCAAAATTTCTAATATATATATATTTTTAAGTTTTTAATATATTTATATTTTACTTTATTATACTTTATTTCTATGACAGATTTTTTTTTTTTTAAGTTTTTGTTTCATTTAAGAGTCACAACATTTTAGTGCAACATGAAATTGTTCGCAACAGGAGAACTATTTATGTGATTTTGTATTTTATTTGATTTTTTTGGGAGGGGGGTAATTTTAGTAATTAGTAATTTTAATATTTCAACAAACTTAATTTGGTTTACGTTTTCTCATTTAAGTTTAATTTAAAGTTTACATTTCTAAAATAAGTTTAGTTTAATTTCTAAACAGGAGTTCACTCGCAAAACGTAACATTTTATAATATGAGGTGGGAATGCAATCATTTTGCAAGAGAGTGTAAATGATTTGTGAGGGATGCACAAAGTTTCTCAAGGTACACCGAATACCAACTTAGGGTCTGTTGAAATAGGGTCTGTTTTTTTTTAAATATCATGTTGACTTTAACTGGCAAAATTGTTAACAAATCATTTCTCTTTGTAGGGAAGGTTATTGGAAAAAATGGCAAGGTTATCCAGGAGATTGTGGATAAATCTGGTGTAGTGAGAGTGCGCATCGAAGGCGACAACGACAACAAACTCCCGCGACAGGAAGTAAGACACCTGAGAGTAGCAGAGAGGAGAAGCCAGATCAATATAAACACGTACAATAATGCATTTTTGTTCTTAGGGAATGGTGCCATTTACATTTGTTGGTACGAAGGAGAGTATCAGCAATGTACAGGTCCTACTGGAGTACCATATTGCTTATCTAAACGTGAGTATTTACAGTACAGCCGCAGCGATGACCGGCCGCTGATGTGTTGGAGAAACTCGAGCGCTTGTTCCCCCCCACCCGCCCCGCCGATAAGGACAAGAGGTCCGCCACTGAAGAGAGCATCACCCATATCAACCGCTCCTACTCCGGCAGGGGCCGCGGCCGCCGGGGGCCCGCATACACGTCTGGCTATGGTAGGGCTTCCATTTCTGGGTGAACCTCTAAATCACTCGAAAACACGTCCAGGTCATACTTCACCACATATGTGACCCTGGAGCACAAAACCAGTCTTAAGTCGCTGGGGGATATTTGTAGCAATAGCCAAAAATACATTGTATGGGACAAAATTATAGATTTTTCTTTTATGCCAAAAATCATTAGGATATTAAGTAAAGATCATGTTCCATGAAGATATTTTGTAAATTTCCTACCGTAAATATATCAAAACTTAATTTTTGATTAGTAATATGCATTGCTAAGAACTTCATTTGGACAACTTTAAAGATGATTTTCTCAATATTTTGATATTTTTGCACCCTCAGATTCCAGATTTTTAAATAGTTGTATCTCGACCAAATATTGTACTATCCTAACAAACCATACATCAATGGAGAGCTTATTTATTCAGCTTTCAGATGATGTATAAATCTAAATTTCACAAAATTGACCCTTATGAATGGTTTTGTGGTCCAGGGTCACATATTTGGAGGAAATTGTATTTTGCATGAATTAAATGAAACCTGTTTTGCAGGCAGTAACTCCGAGCACTCGTACGCCTCGGAGACCGACTCTGAGCGCAAGGAGGAGCTGAGCGACTGGTCCATGGCAGGAGAGGAGCCCGAGCACAGCCTCAGACAGCAGAGGGACAGCAGGAGGAGAGCGGGAGAGCGCCGGGGCCGCGGCAGAGGACCGTCCAGCTCCATTAGCTCAGGTATACTGGCCCCCTTCTGCCCTTCAGCAGCAACACACTTTATTCACCAGCACAGATTTTAGGGCTTCATGAAATCGGTTTTATTTTGTCCTAAAGTCGGTCTCTTTCTGGACTCCATTTTAATGGTTTAATTAAATCCGAAACCATGTCTAATCAAATAAATTCATTCAGCTTTAACATTTAATAATTTACTGATGTTTTAACAATATAAATTGAAATGCTAAATGAAATTAAATTTTTTGAGAAATTACCTGTTTTATTTATTTATGCATATTTTTTTTTTTTTATTCTTTTTCATGGTTCGATATGAATTTATTATCAGAAACAGTGGTAATCAAATGAACGTGTAAAACTTTGGTTGTTTTTTGGCACAACAGAGGTTTATTGTTTAAATTAAAACATGCATTAAAATTTGTGATGTTCCTTAATGTTAAAAAAAAAAAAAAAAGTATTGAGATGTTTTACTGTACAATAGTAATATATTTCTGTCTTTTATTTCTTCAAGGTAAACCAAACTTTTATTTTAGCGGGTTGTAGTAAAGGCTTTCCATCCGCATTTTCGGCATCAATTATAAGGCACTAAGATTTATGTTTTATGGAGGAGGAAAATGACACCATAAATGAAAAATTCCTTTGTGTTCCCTCGTTTTAGTTAAATTGTGGCTCTAAGAATAGTAAGACATGGCCATGACTTACATAAAAAGAGAGAACAAGTTATGTTGTGGTGACAGTTTAACTAAATTGCTGGAACATTTTAATAAAACATTTCCACAAATTAATAAGTTAAGGGAACGGACCTTTTTTTTTTTCTTCCATGTGATATACGTGGCTCTGTAATGTTTGAATATGTCTGAGTAGATTGAAACAATCCAATATACTACATACTCATCCAAAGCAGTATTTTAGTTTTTTTTTTTTTTTTTTTATAAAATATTTTTTTTAATTAAAATTAAATATTTCGAATTTAGTACTTGATAGCATCTGTATTTTAAAACCAAATTTACAAAACTATTAATAAATTCAAAAGTTTTGCACAGACAAGCACCTCTGAAAATGTTTACAAATCTAGTTGCTCTGTAATTAATTAATACATTTTTGTCCTTGCATGTTGCATTGCACAGTAAGTATTTATTTTAGTTCTTGTCTTTCGTGTCAGTCCTGAAAGATCCCGATGGAAACCCATATAGTCTGCTGGACGACACCGAGACTGATCAGACAGCGGACACAGATGCCAGTGAGTCCCAGATGAACAGCAGCCGTCGCAGGCGCTCCCGTCGTCGCCGCACAGATGAAGACCGCACAGTCATGGACGGCATGAGCGAGTCCGACAACACCTCCCTCAGTGAGAACGGTCTCGGTAAGCACATCAGTAGGAGGAGCTTCACTGCATCTTACTCAACCAAATCAAGTCAACTGCAATACATATACAAATTGCAAAACCAACAGTTGTTCGCAGTTTATTTAGAACCACACAATTATAAATAATACTACAGAAAAAAAGTACAAACTCTACAATCCACTTAAAAAGTGTCAATAGCCAACAGCTAGAATTTTCTGCAGGAACAAATTCTCTCCTCTTTTTTTTTTCTGTAAATATAAATGACTTTCTATTCATCAAAGAATTAAAAAAAGGTTGGTTTCCACAAAAATATTCAGCAGCACAACAGTTTTCAACATTGATAATAATCAGAAATGTTTCTTGAGCAGCAAATCAGCATATTAGAATGATTTCTGAAGATCATGTGACACTGAAGACTGGAGTAATGATGCTGAAAATACAGCTGCGCATCACAGGAATAAATTACATTTTAAAATAGATATTCACATAGATAACAGCTATTTTAAAATATACTATTTCACAATATTACTATATTACTGTATTTTTTTTTATTAAGTAAATGCAGTCTTGGTGAGCAGAAGAGACAAAAATCTTGAGAATCTTACAGGGCTTTTTGCTTACTTTTCTTTTGTGCTCCTAATTAAAAAAATTCAGATCATAACAAAAAGTAGCCTTCCCATTACGAGGTGATATTTGACTCCTTAAAGTGATTTACACGGGCATTTGTTTTTAATTTTACATTTGTGATGGCATTTTTTCTAACTTTATTTGTAAGTATGTCATCTTTTACGTAAAATTCAAAAATTTACATTTATAAGCTTTTTTCAAAATTTCCAATTAAAACAATAGAGTAAGAAGAATAAGTTAGCGATCAAATGAAATCAGTATTAACAAATTTCATTTCCACTACAGAAGCGGCACAGAAGAACACACACGTGGCACATAGGTATATTTACAGACGTTTAATGAGGCTGAGAGGTGGCATGATTGCAATTACATTCATAAATTCATGTTGAGATTGTTTTAAATGTACAATTTTGAATATTGAAATATTAAATTATTTAAATAACTGAAATGAAACTAAAACTGCCAGCAGGTGGCGGCAAGTCACTGATTTTATCACTGAATCATTCATTCAATTGATTCGTTCAAACGGCTGATTCATTCAGGAACGAAGCAAGTGATGAATAGGTGATTGAATCATTGACTCACTAGATTCGTTTAAAAACGCATGTACATTCATAAACGAAACACCGCTGTGTTTGCTCGGAGATGCGCAGAGGCTCAGCTGTGACTTTGTTTGAAACTATTTCCGTTGACGAAATAGAGCAAAATCAGGCAATAGTTTTGTAGTCGGACAATGCAAGTCACTTAATATTAACTTCTTGTTTATTGAACTGTTGTATTAAATCAATATCACATTTGAGAACTCCCTTAATAATCATTAATAGCTGTCACTCACTTCAGTTCATCGCGATCTTACAAAGTTCCATTATAATCAACGAAGCGCCCTACACTGCACAATGAATCTCGTATTTACACCCTGTCTACACTTTGTTATAATGAGAGGATTGGTGAGCTCGCAGAATTCGGCACTGAACAAAACCTGAGCAGTGAGTGGATTCTGATTAGCATTGTGTTCCAGGAATCAACAGATATGTCTGATACATTACTCAACGCTGCAAAAACACGTTGTAAATAGAAACCTTTGAAGCTCCCCTGAGCGCAAACACAGGTATCCTGATCGGGTCAGGTGCTCCTTAATACTTTTTCATATGACTTAGTTGCTAACATGACAAATTCCACAAATTGCAAGTTGCTCGAAAGGCTTTTTCCAAAACGGCTGTCAGTATTTAAGGTCTCCCGGTCTCTTGTAGATGATGCTGAAGCTAAACCCCAGCGGCGCAATCGTAGCCGCCGCCGCCGTTTCCAGCCTCCTGAGGAGAGGCAGCCAGGTACCGAGTTATGAATTAACACGGGCTTTGTGTTCAAGCGAGTGTTAATCCAAACTGCATGGCACTGACCGCCTGGAATAACATCAGGACTTCAAACTAAACCCACACGATCAAACAGCATCCTGTGGCAAACAAATGAAGTTTTCTCTTGAGGAAAGTTATTGTCAGCGGTTTGTTACATTTGTAACAGGCATCTTCATGAAATAACATCCCAAAATTGGATGGAACTTCTGAATTTGCACTGGTTTCACAATTGCAAATAACATTGTTTTTAATGCTGTAGGCATTGATCTGCATGGTTTATGTAAACACATGTCAGTCTTCTGCCTCAAAGGAGTGGTTTACCTACAGGATTGTGATATTAATTTACCGACTTAGCGCTTAACTTTTGGTCTGTTCCTCACGCAAAGCTATTTCACCCTCATTTTATAATTATAAAGCTCTTTTACTAATGAAATCGTGGATGTCTCTTGCAGTTACGGTGGCTGACTACATATCACGAGCTGAATCTGAGAGCAGACAGAGAAACCCAAGAGATCTGAGGAAGAACAAAAAGGACATGGTGACTCTATATTTCTTCTTTTATCCATCTCTGTGATAAGTTTTAAATTGAAGAACAGGGGTGCACAACATTTATGATATTTAATCAAAATGAGACATTTATTATAAAATATTTATATATATATGAATTGGATATTTTCCGGCCGATAATGGATATTTAATTGTTTCTGCTTATTAGTAAGTGATTGTGGCAAAGATGTACTATTTAACTCCTATTTTACAATTCATACATTTTGTTTTTTCTATAGCCGATTTGTATATTTATAAATGTTTTGTGCAGTGCATTATTTTGTGATCATGGTTATTATAGTTAACTAAAACAACAAAAAAAATTGTTACTTATAAATAAATATAAAATGTGTGTGTGTGTGTGTGTGTGTGTGTATATATATATATATATAATTCTTTCAATATTTTTTTTGCTTCAGTTTGTTGCCAAGACAACATTTCTCATTTTCAATGTTAACTTAATGTACTAAAACTAAATTAAAAATTAATAAAAAACTATAGACATATAAAAAAAAAAACACTAATAAAATGACAAAAGGAATATTTATAAATTTTTCGTGCAGTACTTTATCATGTTGTCATCAAGGTTAATTTAGTTAACTAAAACAAACAAACAAAAAGTTACTTATAATAAATTGTAACTAAAAATGTTTTTCATATTTATTTATATATATATATATATGTTTTGTTTCAGTTTGTTGCCAAGGCAGCATTTTTCATTTTGTTAACTTGATACTAACACTAAATTAATAATTAATGATAAAAAAACTATATAGACATATTAAAAATTAATAATAATAATAATAAAATGACAAAAACAGTCAAAATGGAATATACAAAAATAAAAACTAATTTAAAACAATTGTATTGAATTTAAAATAATAATAATAGTATCTCAATTATACCAAAGTAATGGCTGAATGAACTTGTAGCATACACAAACCATTTTATTTCAGTTTTTAACAAAGTGGTTTCGTTTCATAATATCGCTTATTTATCAGTTATCTACTGTAATGTGGCCTAAAATTGTATTATATGTTTTTTTTAATATTGGTGCATCTTTACTCTGAAGCTATGTAGACAGGCTTCCCTCAGTCATCAGAAACCTGTAAATATTTGCTGGGAAAGTCTTGAAAAATGTTGCTCAGCTTTAAAGTATTTCATTTTTTATAAACCCATCTTCAGTAATCACCACAAACAACTGGACTAGTCATGAAAACTCAAGGTGTTGTATTTAGATGAAAGCTGCGTGAAGAGCTCTGCTTGTAATCGCAGCTGTTTTGCGTCGTCCACAGGGTCAAGTGGAGTTCATATCGGAGCACAGCCCCGCTGAAGCCGTGAGCAACGGCTCCACCAAAGCAGACGATCAGAGCAGAGCACCACGAGCTTCCGCCGAGAAGACGCCCAAAGCCAAGCCAGCCGTCGTCAACGGAGTCTCCTAACCAGTTCGCTTCATTTCTCCAAACTCATAACCTTTACAATTTTACAATAGTGCTTGTACAAGCTTGCCAAAGATAGACGTACGGACTTCCACATTCTCGATTGCACTTTTCAGTTCCTTCACTATGGAACAGATAATTACAATGGAAAAAAAAAAAAAAGATTATGAGACGAAAAAAAACCCCGTTACGTCACACCTGTATTCCTGATTGGATGCTGTGCCTTCAGAGCGTAGTTTCAACATTTTGTTGGCTGGCTATAAAGCAAACAAACAGAATAAAAAAAACAACAATACTTTCTGTATTTCTGAATACAGAAAGACTCCCAGACATCCTTAGCTGCTTTTTGTTACGTTTTAATATGCAACCACTTCTTCACGAGGGGTTATGGGGAAAAAAGGATGTTTTGCACTGAATAGTCATTTCTTGACCTTTAGAATAATGTTAGTCTGGAAACTGGTCTGCTAACTGTCCATTTTAAATGCTGTATGCACAACACTTCCTGAATGATTGAATTGGGTTTCATCTTTTGCCTGTTGGGTTGTTGTAATGGTGGCAACCGAGACCGTTTCGCTAAAGGAGCCTTTTTTTTTGTTTTTGGTTTATTTATTTTAAAATGTACAGTATTTAAAATTAACAACGCAGTGGATTTTAACACTAAACTAACTGCCTGAACTTCTTAGCACGCAGATTACAAATTTGGACTACTGAAAGATCAATTTCCAGATGTTCTGTTCTGTAAACTACGTTCGTTAGTCCTTTTGTTTTGTTTTTTAAGATCATTCTGGTTGTTTGATGTGCAATATGTTTTGTATGCAGGTAGTTCATAAATAAACATTTGATCTTCCAGCCAACCTTTCATAGTTGGTGTATCAGGTGTTTTGGTCTTTCCTGTCCAAACAAGGCTTCTGAATCTTTCAGCTTTCCTTTGTGTAAAAGTGTGGTAACGTTTGACGTTATTTGGTGAATCTGAATGGGCGAAATCCAAACATTTCAACCATGTGGTGGGGAATTTTGCATGAGGGCAAAAGATTCTCCATGTAGATTTTGCAAAAATTGAAATGAATCTGATTTTTGCCACATTCAGCTGTGGTGTAAATTGATTCATTTTCATACAAAGGAGATCAGATCCAGATGACAACATGGTGTTTAATGATCATGTAAGAATTCAAGTGCATCAGAGAGGGCTCGTTCAAACATTTGATGAATATCTATTTCTTCATCTGTCCGTCAAGTAAATCTTTAGCCTCGTTGATTTTTGTCGCCAGATACGGGGATCCGCCTGCCGAAGAAACACAAACAACACCGACAGCTCAGAGGAACTCAGATCCTGCAGAGTTCTGTATGTTTTGCATTTTACGAAACATGAAGTCTCACCTCGGTCAGGATGGTTTAAAATCATCAGTTTTCTGTGTGCCTCTCTGATTTTGTTTTTGTTAGCGGTAGGACTAAACGAAAGAGAATGAAAACTTTTAAGAAATACACATGGGCCAAACTTTGTGTACAGTCCCTTTAATCATATTTAATATGGATTAAATTACCATCTACGTAAACATGTTTCTGACTCCGAAAGCAGAGTAAAGGCTCATTCACACCAAAGACGTTAACTATAGCAATAAATGTAAAGTTCAAATAATCCTAGAAGTATTATGCAATTATGATGAAATGAGTTCTATGAGAATAGTGAAGTCCTCACTACTGCCATAACATAAAGGCCTGTTCATACAGAACGAAAACTATAAACATTAACTATTAGCATCCACACCAATGGATTTTTAACATTTTCTTTATTATAAGGATGTGATGCATTGATGTTGTTTGCCGCTTTAAATGTTCGAGTGCTTTAAATCAGGATGGATTCTAATTGGCTGTCAATATTTTTATCGTTCAGCAGCTGGAAGAAGTCGTTCTGAAAATGATTCCATTGATATGTTTCATTATCGTTATAGTTACAGTGTGGACTTCACTATTCTCAAACTTTATAATATATTACCATTATTGCTATAGTTATCAGGGCAGACAACAACTGCAACGTGCTCTTATAATAAACAGGAAAAAAAAAATTGCATTCTGTGTGAACGGCCCCTAAGCAGATTTGAGAAAAGACTAAAATGTGGCATAACAGGATTGAATAAACACTCAAATTTCAACTATGTCAGCTGTACATATTAAATTAAATGAATGACCATTACTAATAACAACTACACTATAATATACTCTAAACTGTTGTGTAATGGTGGAACTAAACTTGGTGGAAATGTAAATGCTGTAAAGTAAGATTAAGTAAATGTGAAGTAACAGGGTTGAAGACACTAACATTTCTACTTTTTCAGTTGTACATATTTTCTGATTTCAAAATACGTTAAAACAAACACTATAATATTCTATATTGAGTAACAGGATGGAACTTAACAGTGAAAATGCTTTAGAAATATATGATGAAATGTGGTGTAACAGGGCTGAATACTCAAATTTATACCCCGTCAGTTGTACATATCCGATTATAAATTGATGACCATTATTAAAAGCAACTACTCTGTAATATATTCTACCCTGTCATGTAACAGGGTGGATCCTAACATGGTGGAAATGTACGTAATGTAAAGTAAAATAAGCAGACTTTAAAATAAATCATAAAAAGTGGAATAACGGTTGAAGAAACATTAAAATTTCTTCTTTGACAGCTGTACATATTCCTTGAATACAAATTAATGACTGTTATTAAAAACAACTACATCATAGTATACACTGTTGTAAGACCGGATGGAACCTGCGGTGGAAATGTAAATGATGTAAAGTAAGATTAAGCAGAGTTTAGATATAAATTACTAAATGTAGAATAACAGGGTTGAAGCAAGACTTAAATTTGTACTTTGACATTTGGACATGTTCCTTGAATACAAATAAATGACTTAAAATAAACTGCATCGTAATATACACTATTGTATAACAGGATGGAACATAACATTGTAGAAATGTAAATGCTTTTTGGAAATAATGAAATGTGACAGAGTTGAATACTCAAGATTTCTACTTTATCCCCTGATTACAATTACTGTCGTTAAAAACAACCGCACTGTAATATATTTTAGTGTTGTGTAACAGGATGGAACCTAACATGGTGGAAATGTAAATGACGTAAAGTAAGATTAAGCAGATTTTAGATATAAATTATGAAATGTGGAATAACATTTCACATGAAGCGTTATGTTTTATAGTGTGAAAATGACATATACTATGTTTAATAAACAGACTTTGAATGTATTTATATGGCAAATATCTATAAACATGAATTATTTGCTCAGGCTGTCAGTCTATAACAGCACTGAATGTCACTATCAGTTAGCAGCCATGTGCTAATGCTATCTGTTGCTTTTAATTTGCTTAATAAAAGCATCAAAAATCGCGTCACATTGGATTACAGTGAAAGAGGAAACACTTACCATTTTCTCTGCTAAGATCCTGTGTTGTGATTGTCTATAATCATAACTTTATTCATAACTGACTGCTAAATGTCATGCTCATGTGTTGTTGTTTTGGTGACTTCTGAACTTCAGAGTGAGAGCGACCTGCCGCCAAACGAGCCAGCACGTCGCGAAGCCCGAACTGACGTCGTAAATCGTCAAAAAGTCGAAAAGTTTTTTGTAGAGCTCCTTGGTCTCGTGCTGTGCTGAAATTTAAGGTAACCATAGTAACAGTGACTATCTGATGCTATTTATTAATGAAAAGCTGAGTTTGGAAACGGAAACCTATTTGTATAGAAACATATGTGTACACTTGCCTTAGTATGTCATTATTTTGACATATTTCCTCATAATCTTGACTCACAATTTAGACTTTTAATCTCACAATTATGGCCCTTTATGTAATAATTATGATTTAGCAAACCATAATAAATAGTATTTGTTTTATTTATGTAAAATTTACATTATTTACATTGTTTTTTTGTTGTCATAATTTTGACTTTTGCCATAATTGGCATAATGTGTCTTAATTGCCACTTTTTATCTCATAGCCATGACTCATAATTTCAACCTTTTATGTCTTAATTGACTTAGCATCTCATAATTATGACTTTATCTAATAATTTTGATTTATGTCATAGTTTTGACTTTTTATCATAATTATGACTTGGTATGTCACAGTTTTCACTTTTCTTATCTCATAATCATGACTCATATTTTCAGCGATTTATATCATAATTATGACTTAGTATCTCATAATTTTGACTTTTAATCTCATAATTCTGACTCCGATTTATGTCATAATTGCTGTTGTTGTCATAATGTTGACTTTTTGCCATATTTATGGATTAGTGTGTCATAATGTTCACTTTTTATCTCATAGTCATGGCTCATAATTTCAACCTTTTATGTCTTAATTGACTTAGAATCTCATCATTTTGACTTTTTATCTCATAATTTCGATTTATGTCATAATTTAGATTTTTTAAATCATAATTATGATTTGGTTCTTATCTCATAATCATGACTCATATTTTTGACAATTTATGTCATAATTATGACAGTATCTAATAATTTTGACTTTCGAATCTCATAATTCTGACTCCGATTTATGTCATAATTGCTGTTGTTGTCATAATGTTGACTTTTTGCCATATTTATGGATTAGTGTGTCATAATGTTCACTTTTTATCTCATAGTCATGGCTAATAACTTCGACCTTTAATATCATAATTATAATTTACCAAACCATTTTGCAAACCAACATGCTTCCACAGATAATATAATTTCATTTGAAATTGTTCCTGGAAAGGATCAACTTTGTCTAGTTTACCCAGGAAATTCGCAGGAAACACAGGACAAAACGCAGAGGGTTCTTCCCATCGGGATGGATTTCACTCCAGCAACACGATAAACGGTTGAAGGTCCTAATTGTTGCCCCCATCATTTGCATAATTACAGCGTTTTTTTCTCCAGCAAAGGACAGTATAGAAATTGTAAATTGATGTGGACGGGGCCGCAGTCAGCGAAAGTCACGTCTAATGACAAGCGTGTCCCCTGCAAGCTCCTGGCACGCCGGCTGGAGCTTCAAAGGGATCGCAAAAGCCAACGGCGTGCGAAAAATGAGAGTTTTGCCCCCAAATTATATGGAATTACAGTGGCGGGTGCATGTGCTGCATCTCCACACAAAAAGCCCAGAGGAAGCAGCCATTTCTGTTGGTTTTATTAAACCAACCAAGCAATTTAATTCTTTTGTTCAGTAGAGTTCTACTTCATTGATTAACAAAAGCAGGGATATAATTTTTTTTCAGCCTTTTTCAAAAGCCTGAAATGTCAAGCCTTTTAAAGCAGATTATTCTGCCTGTGTGCAGTGAATGCAGCCCGAGTAACCTTTTGTCTACCATTAAATATTCCAGCATAAATATAAAAGAAAATCAGAGATGGGGAAGATTGACTCAGGAGAGATTGTGAGGTAGATCCTCACACTGATAGTGCAAACAGCTTGCTTCTAATTAAATATGCCACCGAGTCTCAAAGCATTTGCTTTCTGCCGCAGAGAGAGGAAGCTGCTGAGAATGTGAGGAAGAAATGTATCGCCCCATCTCTCCGGCCGCAGGATTTGTTTTATTTATGTAAAATTTACATTATTTACATTGTTTTTTTGTTGTCATAATTTTGACTTTTGCCATAATTGGCATAATGTGTCTTAATTGCCACTTTTTATCTCATAGCCATGACTCATAATTTCAACCTTTTATGTCTTAATTGACTTAGCATCTCATAATTATGACTTTATCTAATAATTTTGATTTATGTCATAGTTTTGACTTTTTATCATAATTATGACTTGGTATGTCACAGTTTTCACTTTTCTTATCTCATAATCATGA